CCAGAAGGCTGGCATTACGCTGCCAGTAGTTTTACTAGCATCACAGAAATCCATTCTAATAAGAACAACCCTATTAGTAAACAGACAAAGGCTGGAAGGCAAATGTGAGATTGCTCCCCTTATAATTTTCTACACCCACCAGAAATACTTATACCAGAGAGAGGTGTTGAGGGAAGTAATAATGGGACCAGGAACAGCTCCATGCTGGCAAAATCAGGCTCATCAGAAGCTGCTGAATGTCTTTGCCATAGAATCACAGAATTGCTGGAGTTGGAAGGGACCTCTAGAGATCATCTAATCCAACTCTCTCACTGAAGTAGGATAATCTAGAGCACTTTACACAGTGCATCCAGGCAGGTTTTGAATATTCCCAGAGATGGAGACTCCACAACCTCCCTGGGCAGCCTATTCCAGTGCTCTGTCACCTTCACTATAAAGAAGTTTTTCCTCATATTTAAATGGAACTTCCTATGTCGCAACTTGCACCCACTGCCCCTCATTCTGACATTGGTAACTCCTGAGAAAAGCCTGTCTCCATCTTCCTTGCACCCACCCTTTAGATACTTACATACATTGATAAGGTCTCCCCCCTCAGCCTTCTCATCATCTCATTTTTAACTCCAGCTAATGAAGAGAAGCGTCTCAAAATTGCTTAGTTCTTTAAAGTCCTGCAAAAACAGGACCCAGATTGGAGAGTGATGCTAATCAGTGCCCCAGTCAAATGAAGTCTAAAGCATTTCATCCCTGTCAGGCACCAGGAAGTCTGCAAAGCCCTCAAGATCCACAGGAAACCAAGCTTTAATGGATTTTGGTTTATTATTGTTTTGTTACAGAGTGAAGGCAGGCCCAAGGAGGAAACACAACACACCATTTCTGGCTTTTGCAAAATGCTACTATAACATCATCGCTTAGATTTATCTTCTAAAATAGAGTTGGTTAATCAGCTAGCCTTTTCCCACATCAATGCCATAACCTTCCCAGCCACCTCTTCCTTATACCTGGCAATTGTGTCCTAACCTGCCGTGTCACTCTAATCCATTTATGATCTGCTGACATTTCCTACAGCTCTAACAGCAATCTGTGGAGACAAGCTGGCCCTGTAAGAGTAAGCCTGTGCCAGGTGGCCATAGCCATCCCGAGTCCAGTGTAATGTGACATTTTCTAACAAAGCCATGAGATACAGTATGTCATTTCAAAAATTCAACATCCATAGAAAGCATAATTAAAATGCTTTTTCAATCCACAAACACACTATCAAAATTTTTCATCTTCTCAAGCTCTGTTTCGCCAAAATGGGTCAGCAGCTTTAATGAAGTACTTCAGTTTTGGGTACACCTACACCGTGACTAGAAGACGAGATGAGAGCGTGAGTAATGTAAGCTTAATACAGCTTCTAATGGGTGAAAGTCATAGGACCACTGCTAGCCCGAGCTGCAGCCTTAAAACACAAATTCTGAGGTCTCCATAAATGCACAGTGGAGTCTGTTGAGCAATGTTATTTCTTTGCTACCTTCTTTGCCCAAGGCAGCACAGGCACACCATCATATGCCAGGCACAAGTGCACTGTAGTGACACATTTTGCTGTGCCAGCCATGCCTTGTTTAGGAATCCAAGGCTACCACAGTACTACAAAATAACATTTAACAACAAATAGCAATGTCTCTCCCTTGCTAGCTGTATTGCAACCAATTCTCTTGTTCCCCACTGATAAGTTATCTGTATTCACACACAAAGCTTCTCAAGGAGGAGCAGTCAGTTTTCTCCCACAGAGCCATCAGGGTGATAGAAAGGTAACAGCATGCAGGCTTAAAGAGCAATCCCATGTTTCAAAGCTGAAGTAGACTTGCTTTAAGCCCCATAGGCTTTTAATGAATGCCCCTTGATAGCTTTTTTCAAATCAAAGAATTTGGGGAAAGTAATTTTAACATTCCAGTGTAACATTCTACCAAAATGAAGAGGTCTTAATGTAAGTTAGAATCAGCCCCTCGGGCTCCATTACACCAATATAATGGTCCTCTCACCTCAGTTCTTAAACTACATCTTATGAAGCTATCTAGCTACTAGCAGAGGGCTGCTTCCTAACATTTACATGCAAAGAAAAACGGTCACAGAATTCCAGATACACAAATTCCCAATTCCTCAATTCCCAAGCCATTTCAGAAGCTAGAACTTGACACTTCTTGCGGGAGCTGAGATTTTATTTAGCTTGCTGTCTTTTCAAAGACAGGGCAAGACATTTGGCACCCAGAATGTCATTAAATGAGCAATTTCCTGCTTTAGTTTTCTCTTCAACAGGATTAAATGGAAGGCTTTTAAGTGTCCAAGTGGTATGCATGAAGCTTTACTTAGCACCTTACAGTATACCAACTATTTAGACAGATGCTCATCAACAGCTTGTCACTGTGCTGTAGAAATGTTTACTGAATGTGAGAAATGAAAGACAGTTTATGTCATCTGGTTGACACACTCCATGAAAATTACTCAAAAGGACGGCAAGTATCAGTTCAGGACAAATCATACTTTATTGTACTGTAATGTCAGAAGTACAAGAAAAGTACTGCAGAGAACCATGCTAATGGTGGGGCTTTTAGGGCCTGTGAAGGACAGAAGTACAAGATAATGGGGTACTATTGCACTCAGTGCAAAAACTGATTAATTTGAGGCACAAGTACACTATTGTTTAAGTATTGTTTAATTTAATTCAAGCATAGGTCTGCTATGTGATCTATTCTGTTTTTTTCCCATGTGACAATTACATAAATAGTTACTTTTAGATGAAACAGGCAGTAGATTCAAGTCAGGGGTGTCCAAATTGCCAGATGGCAACCAAAAGAAAAAAAAAAATACCCTGCATTATCACCCTCCACATTTTAGTTTCAGATATGGAGGTGTGGCTAGTGAAGAAAAGTTTTTCAGAAAGGTCAGAGCCCACATCCGTTTAATTGGGGTGGGTTTTCCTCATGTTGACCACAATTTATCCAGTAAGAAAAAAATAAACTTGTATCTTTGATAAGGAATCATACCTACCTAGCATTCAAATAAATTTCAGCCTTTGATAACTTATGGCTTAAGACAGAATTAAAGTGTTTGGGCACCCTTGAGTTAAGTTAATGAAGAGAATTTTGCTAAAAAGGCAAGCAAGATCACTGGTTTAAACAGAGCTGGCCTCTACAAAAAGAAAGCAGGAATCCAAGTAACTAGTTACTACTAGGCTGACATGTACTGCTGCCCAGAAAGATAAAAATGTAACATCACAATGAAAAGGTTTAACAAAGTTGAAAGATAAAGGTTTTAACACCAGAAGCAGCATTTGAAAACAAGCTGTTTATGTTATTTTTTTCAGGAGATGCAGATTGCATAACCCTAGACATGAACCAACATGCTGGCAATCATCTCCTTCTACACACCCACTGTCTTTTAACATAGGAAGTTCTGGGTTTAAAGAAAGCTACTTGAAGAACTAAGATTTGCAACTGCCTGTCTTGTTACTGAGATTAGTAGAGAAACAAAAAAAAACCCCAACCAACTACTGAAACAGTAGTTTCTCAGTACATTACAAACACAGCTTCTGATCTGTAAGCAATGTAGGACTAAACAGACAACTATTATTTTATATTTTTACTATGCTTGTAAGTTACATTAGTTAGTTTTAATAAGCCAAGCAGTTTTGCCCTATTTCAAGAACAGTTTCCAATCAACAGCAGGTGAATGGAACTTCACAAATAATCAAGGAATGGTGACATCTTCGGGTCAAGAATGAGAAGAAGTAGTGGGCTCTGTGCTACCAATCAACCTCAACAAGAATATGGCACAAGGGCCAGCCCAAGCTGTACCAACACTGAACCTTTAGCACTCTGCACAAATTCAGATCTTTTCACTTTAGCTAGCAAATCAGGTGAAAAGACTGGGTAAAAAAAAAGAACACAAAAAAACAAACCAAAACAAAAACCTAACTAAAACCTTAAGCCAGAAATTGGAATCTACTTTTTAAAAAACATCTGTAGTTTTAAAATAACATTATGCTGGCATCAGTTTATGCAAACTAAAAAAACTCATTAAATTTCTCTCTATCGAATGACGAATCTTCCAAATACTTTCCTTTTAGCCTGTTGTATCTGTAGATACAATCTCAAAACTAACATGTAAAAACAAGAGAGGAAAAAGTTACAGCATCTGCACAACATTCTTTCTACAAACAGCTGCTGGAGGGAAAGTAAAGTATAAAAGGAATAAAGGAAGGAAGGTTCAATTTGAAATACTCTCACAATCTTTCCCATTTTGTAGTCTATGAATCCAACTCTGATGCTAAGGTGACAGTGTATGTAAGCAGATTTTTTTTTTTGTTGATTTTATTATTTTTGAGTTTCAATTGAAGAGAACCTGTAGAGAGACTCGAGACTCTTCAGGAATTGTCAGATGGAACGTGCTCCTCAAATCCTTCACTCTCTCGGACCAAAGCTCTTTCCAGGATAACACGGCCTTCCTTGTAGCGCTGGCTGTCTTCAGTGGCAAATTCATAGATCCAACCCAGTTTGCTGTTGCAGTTCTTGCAGCTCACATCTCGAACCATGTGGCGGCCCGTGAGCATGACCCGATCCTGAACTTCACTGTATTGCAGATTTACCACCTGATACAAATAGATACACAGGGAACGAGGAAAAGTAAGGATTAGCCTGCCTAGAACATGGCTTGGTAACAATGTGCGTTAACTATCAACATTTTAAAAGTGAAGAGCTTGTGGCACTGTAGGTGGACTGAAAACAGTTTAAGAAAAAAACAGCCCTTGAAAATCGTTGAGAAGGTAACACTTTGAAGATGTTCTTCATGGGGATGTATCACCCTCAAAGTTTAAGTGAGAGACATGAAATGCTGTCACAAGACATAGGAGACTGCAGAGTACTGTATTCAATTTTGGGTGAGACTTTCCTGGTGAATAGCTTGTAAACTAACTGATATTCATCCACTTGCAATATACATAACCCATAGCAACTGATGTGATCACTTGTTCCCAGCAATCAGAACCAAAATACTAGAAGTAGTATTTCTTTAAAAATCCTGGGGTGTTTTTGAAGTAATAATTAAGGAAAAGCAAGGCTAAGAATGTAGGCGTTAAATATTCACGTTTTTCTTGCGTCCTACCTTAGGAGTTTAAAATACACTTTTAACTTGTTTAGGCAGCAACGCCAGAGAATAAAGACAAGTCAATGTCAGAACTATATCCAAGCTGCTAAGATGTGGAAGGATTTAAAAAAATGGGGCTGCACTGCTTTCTCAGTTTTCCACCTGACTGTGCTTCCTCTCTCCACTTCAAGACTTAAGACTTACAATCACGGAAACATAAAAATCTTTGTCAATCAAAGTCCACTATTCAACACAAGAAAAATTTGAACGCCAGGATCCCGTGCTTAATGGATGAGAAAGAAATCAGATGCAGTTATTCTATAGCTATGCAGTCTAACACTTGCATATAAATACTACTAACAGGATTCAGCATACCAAAATCCCAAGGCCAAGACGTTAAGTGATGCCTCCCTCTATCAACTCTGCAAACGGCCAAATGGCTTTAAAGAAAAAATCCATAACAAAAGAAACCAACTATTACATGACCAGGAATTTGTGAGAAAGCAAAGGACAAACACTGGTTTTTTTTTCAATGAGTCTAATAGACAAGACTATATGAAAGGGTTAATATATAATGCTACAATTCACTCAGAGTTATGAATTTCATATTTAAACCTGTTGAACTAAATAAGATTTGATCAATTAAAAAAAAAAAATTTAAACTAAAGCAAAGTATTATTGCTTGCAAAAGAGACTGTGGTTACCTAAAGATGCCAAACTACTGTCAGCTTAAATATGGTTTAGAAATGAAACAGAGTATTATCTAGACTTTTTTGGTTTTAAGCATGGAAGTGCAAATGCCTTTCAAACTCTCTAACAGACAAAAGATACTCCCACAGTGAAACTGGGGTTCATATTAAGAGAAGTGTCCAAAGTTAAAACTCCATGCATATTAGCATGTCTCTATATACGCAACCCTCTTTATAGTCTTTCAGTATAGCCGACAGATTTCGATAGCTTGCCATCAATATTAAATGCCTAATTTGGCTTCAAAGACAGTTCAACAAATATTAAAAAATTAAAATAGTAATTACATAGCACTTCAGTCAATAAGTTTTTTAGTTTTCATGACAGCTTCTTATCCCACAAACTCATTTTTCAAAAGCAAATAGTAGCTCCTCTTCATCTTCTTACAAACCTTGTTAAAAAGAAAGGCTCTTCCCGTAGCCCCTGTAAAACGAGTGGAGATGAGCTCAGAACGATTGGTCAGAATTGTGTCACAGTTTGCACAGGAGAACAGGCGAGTGCCACCAATATGATCCAGAAAAATTCTTCCCATCTTTAGAAGTTACGTAAGTTTATACTCAACACCTGAAAGCAAAAGTAAAGATCATATACATGTAAAAAAAGCACTGCAGAAAAAAACCCAAGCAAACCAACCAACAAACCCCAAACACCCCACATATATGGCAGAATATTCTGCAAACCAATTCAACTAATGATTGCACAGGTTCTTTCCTTCACAGATGAACTACTGAACTTACAGGCTGCGTTAATCCTTTCTCATCAAGTTCTTTCCCAAAGTGACTATCTTACCAGTAAGATGGCACATAGATGCAAATGAATTACACTAAATAAGCAAAACATGAACTGAAAACTTTAAAATCTAGTTGAGACATTTGCAGACCTACTCAAACCTACAGTTCTTAAAAGCTTTCATTTCTTTTGTATTTTCTTTTCCTTTTTAATACAATATTGAAATTTCATACAAGTATACCTCCAACGACTCACCCATCTTAATTCATCACTGGGAAATGAAGCACTGAGAAGTATATTGAGTCACCAAGACAATGACAGTTTAATTTTCCCAAGTCACCCCTCCTTTTTAAAACATGTATTTATTTTGCCACTTCCCCTCAACTTTGCACAATTTATGACATGCTGCCACATTCCACCACCATCCAGGATGCTTTAGTCTTCCAGTATAACAGACTGAGCTACTGTATTTGACTCAACACTTACTGGTTTCATATACATAACAATACAGAAAAGGTTTGGGTTCTACTTCACATAATAAACAATCCACCCAGTCTTTACACTAGACAGCTTTATATACAAATGTTTAAAGCTGTTTAATTTAAATGCAAAAACCTGTGTCATTTACAGTTGCATCATCACCAAAAAAACCTGAGCAACTCAAATGAGCAGAAAAAGAGAGCTTACAACGGTTATACCAGCAGATCTGCAGTACTTGATAAATAAACCTCTTCACTGCTTGGAGAAATTAAAGTCTCTCACCAACTTGATATGAACTAAAATTAATTACTCAAAGTTAACTAGTGAGTAGGCATAGGACATATTAGACAGCTGAAAAGGTGTATCATGAAGGATGAGAATACATTACAAAGGAATTAAATAATGTTATTCTCACTTCAACTACAAAAATAATTTATTACTAAGTATCTATGGTTAAACAAGTTAAATATACCTCAATTTATGCTTCAGATGTGGAATCAGAGTATTGTCTTTGCTTTTTCATGTACAGCAATGCAAAGTAAATCTGACACATTGAAATACTGATGTGGGGTTTACTTTTCAGAGCAGGAGACGTTGTGCTGTTCATAGAGAAATTAATCAAATTTTGTGACCATCAAGTTGAATATTCTATGCCAAATACCTTTAAGAAGTGCAAATACTTAAATTAACCCAATTTCAAGTTTTAGGGATCAGCTTCTAAAAGCTTACTCTGAAATGCACAAAGCAAATGGACTAAAACATGCATCTGCACACACACTTTAAAATACCATTTTTATATGTAAAAAACATAAGCCACTAGCTCTTTTTTCCCAATTGTTTTATTTCACCACTGTGTTTTCTTACAATGTGTGGCAATTAGAAGGGTTCTTAGTATCTAACAGAGTGATTTTAGCACAAGTTTCTTACATTCAGATTTTTCCAGTCACTATTAGTCTTTGTATCCCATCAGGATACATAAAAATTCGAAGCAATGGAGTTACTCTTTCCTTTAAAGGTGATATAATACTCCCTTCTCTTATTGAAAGCATAAATAACACAGGTCTTGAATTTGACAAAAATATGTCAAAGACATAGCTGAGTGTAAGCATATGACACTATCTGACTCCACTCAAAACCAGGAAGCATTTTCCTGCAATTTTTCTAAGCATTATGCCATTTCTAATATGCCCTTATCTTTCCTAGCAAACAAGGGCAAAAGAAAAAATTAAAATGTTAATAGTGACAGCAGAAGGAAAATCAACAGACAAAAAGTGTGAATAAACAAGTGTTAGTCAGAGACTCTAACCAAAAGAAACCACAAATACAAGCAGTAAAGGCAATTGTGAAAGATAAGGCATAAGGCATTTGGCCTAGTACGTGCCGTACTTACTAATTTTGGATAATGTTATATTTGTGTCTATTGTATCGTGGATTAAAAACAATAACCAATCATAGGCTTTTGCAAATGTGGAATCAACATCCAAAAGGGTATTTCTTTCAGAGTAAACACAATTCTCACCCTGTCAGTATTTTTAGAAGTGTACATAAAACACATTATAATACACCCCTCTCCTACCAAAAGCAACACAAACACTAAGCTTGTTAAATGACAAGAACAGATCCACTATACAGCCTAACTGTACAAAGCATGCCATTTTGAAAAATATACATGTGAACACTTGAAATGCAAATTCATTACATATATAGAAACATAATGTTACTGCACCCAGAAAAGCAGTAACCCGAAGTCACCAAAACCAAAATTTTACTACTTCAGAAGAGAGCACAAAAGTAATTCTTACAACTAAGTCAGAAGTCAAAGTGACATACAAATGTATTATTTCTGTATATGGCATTATGCATGGACCGAATTGTCTAGTCCTGAAGATACTGGACATAAAAATAAACGCATAAATAAATGTGTGAAGTCTGAGGCTGAAAAACCTGTCCAAAAAGACAGGGCCCAAAATCTTCAATTATTTCTATCACCCCAAAAAGCTGAAAGTAACCTCATCAAGTATCCAAATGAGAAAGAAACTTTCAGTAAGACTTGGGTCCCAACAGAAAGACAAAGTGAGATTAATTTGATGGTAGGACAAGGCTGTGACAATTCAGACTAAAGTTACAGCCAAATCTAATAAAACAACTGGTACTTGAAAAATTTTCTTCAGAATACAGTGCATAAGAAAACATGCATTCTTTAAATAAATAAGTAAATGCACATTTAAAACCTAAAAATTAAATTCTAAAATCTGCATTGTAACAGTCAAAACAATGAGACTTCAAGTATATTTTTTTGAGAAACTGCTAAAATAATGTAACCCTACTACAAAGTATAACATTCAAAATAACCTCTACACTTAACTGCCCCCCTGGCAGATTTCAGTCAAAACTGGTAGCAGCCTACAACTATCATTGGCTCTTGGTTTTAATTGCTACAGGATTTTAACAAATCTGTAAGGGTCCAGCTGAAGAGCTACAAAACCTGTCACCTTTCATTAGTCTTCCTATACTGCTCACAGTAGTAAAAAGTAGTTTAAAAAGTTTCAAAATGACTGCTAGTAAGGCAGCTTGCAAATGCCACATTGCTCATGAATTTTCTAAATAAGGATCTTCTGCTTTTTCTTCTCATATAAGGTAGAGAAGCTAAGTTTCAGCTTGGGATCATTTCACACTGCTCTCTTCCCCTGTTTTTTTTCCCCCTAAGCTAAAAGCATAGTATTGGACAGGTACTTGCTGTGGATACAGACTGTTCTCTCCCTGTGTAAGAATCCTGAATCCTGTACGGTATTCTCATTGTACACTGGGAAAAACAGAAGTACAACAGAACACTGGAAAGCAATTTTTCATTGCTCTCAGACTCATATCCCTTAGATACATAAGTGGTGTGTACTAAGTAACCCAACATAACGTAATTTTTTTTTCCTTATAGTTTTCTCTTCCTGTGTAATAAGTGTGGGTGCCTTATTTATGTTCACACATACATAAATGATCTGAAAAAAAGCCACTTATAGGCAGCTTTTATAGGCAGCTTTTATAGGCAGTGGGAGGGCTCTCTTAAATAAAGAGAAGCCAAAGAATTGTGAAACATGAATGAGTTCCTAAAGCTTAAGATCCTCCAATCAGGGGGAGGAAAATGCAAATGCACTTAACCATTTGTCCACTCTCTACACTTAAAAGGAGTGAAAATAACTTCAGTTGGTTCAGAGGCCCAAACAAGTTCCCTACTGCTACTCATAACTCTAGAAAGTCACACTACCATATCCCACCGATTCCATCATGCTAGCAGAATTTTCATAATCAGCAGACAGGAATGTCAGGAAAGAACAGATATTTTTTTTGGGTCCATGATTTCATCTTTGAAATCAGCTACACATTATTTGTTTGATATGTGTCAGTGATGAAGTGCTAGTGATCCTGCCCTCATACAATTACCAAACACAAGTTGTAATATTAAATTAATGGCTTCAATGGAAAAAAGGCAGATCTATCTACCATCACTGATGATGACAAAGTAGCTACCATTTGTCAAATATACAGAGTTCAAAGACACAGGTACTTCTATGAACTGAGAGATGATGCCACTACATCATTAGTTGGCTTCCTGACCACCACTATACTACCAACCTGCATTCCCAAGAAGACCTTTAGCAGAACAAACAATGACAGGTCTTACTAGTAGCTAGTAAGTCTTGCTGACGGTGCATTCTTTTTGCAGTACATACCTTGATACAACTTCTTAGTCATACTGTGAAATATTTCCTGCCTGCATGCTTCCTCCAATAGACAGATAGGAAACACAAGCACTGTAGCCATACATATTTTTTGAGAACTGTGCTCTCAAACTTTCACCTGTCTTTCAGTGTTGACCTTGTCAACACTGAGCAACAGCTGTCAAAGAGCTGACAATCTACAGCTTAAACGTGATCACTATCTGCAGAGCTGAAACCACCTGGAGAACTGTTTGGTATTTGTACTACCTAATCTGCCTACCTTCACAAGCAATAAAGAACAAAAAAGTAGCACAAAGAATTATTTATTAACATTTTTTAAACTAACAGTCAGTGTTTTCTTGTCCCAGAATGCATCTTTTGAAGACACAGGACCATGAACATTTGGGAGAGGCAACAGGCACTTTCTACATACACACTGGACTGCAGATATTTCAGGAGACTCAGTGTTGCTTCAGCACCATCAGCTGCATTTCCAATCTACAACAGAAAACAGCTGGTAGTTAAATGATAAAAAACTACAACAGCCTCTCTTTTGTCATTTCACCAACTAAGAACATTTTCCCTTATACCGTGAGCCAACAGGCACTCTCTCCCCCTCGTAAAAAGGCCATGCATTCCCCTAGG